GGTTTAATACATCTTTTATTTTAAGTTTAAAAATCCATTTAAAAAGCTTTTTTTAAACACAAAACACGTTTTATCTTCCTTTTCAAATAACTGAATCCATACACTGAGGATGCGTAGTCGAATTCTAAGATTTATGCTAGAGTAATTCCTAATAAGATGATGATACACATGTCCAGTAACCAAAGGGTAATGTACTTTTTGGATCAATCCCTTATTGGTTTTTAATGTTTACTGTCGTTTTATTGCAGACTACATCAAGACAGCTTACCAATGTTGCAATCATTTAAAAAACGAAATCATTTTAGCAATTCCATTTTTAGGATAAATTGAATTAGAAGTAAAGCAGTTATGAACTCTTATAAATAATATAACTGAACATAACGGACGTGACTCAGTGTAAAGAAAAAGGTAAATACGTTAGATGAGAATAAATAGATGAGATAAAAAGCTTTGTCTGAATACACTGATTTTACGTTTTCCTCATGCTAATCAATAGTCAGATTTCAAATAGGTTAAATTGGAAGGTACATGACGTTATTACAATTAAAAACTTAATGCATAAAACAATTCACACTATCATAAGACTGGTGATTAATAAATATAACTAAATTACTGCATTACATAATTTTTTTCTTACTAACAAATGATTTTAACAACCAGTTTATTAGGGTTTGGTTTAGTCAACAATCTGTAGCAAATAAAACATTTCTAATCAAAACTTAAAGTTTAACTTCAGTCATTTCATAATATTGAGCAATTATTGTCCATTTTGCTGTATAACTCTCATACTCAAAATTTAAAGGTTGATATTGATTATTGTTGATCTAGTGCAGCTGTAGCGAATGAAAACTCAGGTAGAAAGATCAACTTAATAGAATTACATAGTGTCTTCATAAATGATGAAAACGATACATTAAATACTTCATTTGCACATCTATCAGTTATCTCTAACAAACCTCGTTGTTCGTTCATTCAATAACTTCCTGCTTACATTTCTATTCCTTCCAATTAAATCTTATCAACATTCCGCTACCAGGCCTTCCACTTTGGATCAGTGTTACATACTGCTTATGTCTGTTGACATAAATTACAGAATCAATTAGTCAAATCTGTGAACCATACAGTGAATACTTCATTTGCAAAATGTTAATCAATCATCTCGATATTAATCATTCTTTGTTCTTGTTCTCTTTTCTTTGATCTTCCTAACCTTCAACCTTCAGATATTTTACTTTCAGTGTCATACATACTACTTATATCTATTAATATTAGTAGCACACATACAGTATGATTTATTCACGATCATTTGTTTCAATTAAACATTTTAATTATTATTAAAAAAGGAATTGAATTCAATGTCTATAGTTCTCATCATGTCATTTATTTAATAAACAAATCAGTAAGTTTTTCTCATTTGTCTACTTTTCTATAAACAATCTCTAGTTAGTACTTATGTTTTGTCAACTTTTTATTCGTGTAAAAATTTAATTTTTAATCTAAATGCAAATTTTCATATTTATATTGTACATTTATGGTTGAGTGATTATTTTACATTGACTCATATGTTTTATTTCATCTTCAATTCACTTTAACATTTTTTCTACACTGTCATCTGCTTACTTATAATCATTTTTTTTAAGTAGTAGATGATGAACAAGACTGATCAAACATTTTGTATGTATGTGTATATAATTGTGTAAATACATGTAAAACCATTGTTTCTATTATTTAGTGAAATTGTATACTATTAAATATGAATAGAGGTTAAATGGTATATTACAGTAAGCTATTCATTTAGACATCATAAGAATGTATATATTTATTATTTTCAGTCTAGGTAAATTTTAAAGTGTTTCAATAGTTTTAGCATGTTAACTCTCCATGATCAAATATAAGTTATTCTTACTTGCATAATGAAAATACCTAGATCTTTTTTAAAAAAAAGAAGGATATTCACAGATTATATATCGTATGGTTTACCTTACAAACTACTAATATCAAGCAGACTAGATAAAACGAACAATGATGATTCTACAATAGTTCAATTTCTACGAGTACCTTAAGTTGAAGATTCAAGTATAGTCTATAGTTTAACTGTATAAAACTTTTAAATTGATTAATCTGTGTACTGTTTGTTTCGATTACTGCTATGACTTACTTCAATATTCAAGTAAATATATTAGTGTTACTCAGATATGTTTGATACTTGTTTTTAACTATATCATATTCACTGATTACACAGATCAATACTTGTCAAGTTGGTAGCTGAATGTTTTTGCTTCTCAGAGGAAATTAACACTATGAAGGCGCATTCAGTTTGTTTAGATTTAAAATGCTTACTATCGAGACTTGTGAGTTAGACAATCAATGAAAACCTTGAAGTACTGGATGACTGTTTCGTCCTAGCACGGAACTTTTGAACAGCGCATATTTACGACCCTGTAACTGGGAATAAAATCTAGAACCAAACGCTTAACCTCTAGATCACTGGTCCGGTATCCAACTATGTACAAATCTAACTTTAACCAAACCACAATTTTGAGTATCCATTCTTCATTTTCTTCGGTGGGTAACTTCTTCATCACCGACACACTTTAGCTCTACTCGTTACGGCTTCTCACTAGAACTCTGGAAATTCCCTTTCAAAGTGAGGAAGGTACTCGCCAAAGAAAATGGAGGGTGACCAGATAAGCATTAGATTACGCTACACATTTCTAACTTATTTACTGTAGGATAAGTTAAATAACATTTTAAATGATCATGTAAGCTAGAATTCAATTATTGATAACAATTGGAAACGTTTCCCGGTAGTTGTAGTCTAATTGTAAAAAATCTACCACAAATGCTCGTCTGTCATTTATACTATCTGTGTAACAGTTATGAACACTGACCTGAATATGATTTTTTCATTACTATCGACAAAAGCTTTACTATTTAGCCAGATCAACTGAATACATCCACATACTGTTAAGTTCGTTTGTTTATTACAACATAATGCATGTTGCATTACACAACTAATAATAAATTAAATTTTAGCTGTGTATTCAAATTCTGCAACCATGTTTTATTTTAGATCAAAATCTCATGTATCATTTACTCCCAAAAATACCTTTGATTACGTAAAACTTTCTTCTAGTGACTGAAAATTAGCCATTAATCCGTGGAATAATATATTATGTCTGAACAGAAACTCTAGTTTTTTAAATCTTATTTTTGATGTAACTATAAAACATTTATATGTGATAGACTGAAATATAGCAATAGGTACATTATGCATACCAATATTTGTTAAAGGATAACATACATTGAGATAGTGGAGAAGGTTTGTAGCTCAAGTGGATGATTTAGAAACAAAAATCAAACCAATGGGAGATACAACCGAAACAAAGAAGCAAACAATGACAAGTTTAATGTCAACAAGAACCAATCGATATCGAGGTCTACAGGACAAGCAGTGAACCACATATGGAGAAATTCGAACGCTTCACTTCTATCTGAAGTTTGTGCTGATGATGTCGTTCATAAGAACGATGAAAGCTCCACGACTAAACTATCCAGCTCAGAGAACGAAACCTCATCAAATTAGCATACATTATTAAACATACTTAGTTGATACGTTTACTCGCTGATGGGAAGATTTGATAATATTGTTTTGTCAAAAATCGAGTGATTTCAATTAGCGATTTTGGGTAATAGGCACCATATGAAAGAAACCTCAATTAATTGCTGTCTGGTATGTTAAAAGATATTATTCTATGGTGTAAAACACTGTCTTTAAACTATCTTACTCAACTAATTCGTTTCTGAGCTCTCAGATTCACTATTCATTAAATTGGTAACATGAATAGAAAATTTTTGTCAGGAACAGTGATAGAAATTTCGCAACTGTACAGTTATAAGTAAAACAAGCCATAGCACTTGTTTATAAATATGTTATGAACGAAATATCGAGCAAATGATAGTCAACTTCTTGCTTTCAAGTATATTTAATTTGATCAGTTACTCATACAGAATTAAATAAAACACCCGATGGGCCCTTTTCTTTTAAACAAACCTTTCCGAAAATCTTAATTCATGAGGAAAAATTCTATCTCAACACGTTTGAATTTATTGTGTATCATCTCTTAAAACATTGTATGTAATATCAGTGATAATGAAAATTTCACACATGTTTTTAATCTGATACCCCTATGATTTTTCTTTGAATACAAACACTTTAATGTTACAAAATCCACTAATAAATAATGCTGAAAACTTTAAAAACAAGACAGAATGAAGCTGGTATTCACTTCTGTCTAAATAAATAGAAAAGACGGAATGTTAACTTCCATTTCAAAACAACTCAATTATTTGTTTAAGTTAAGGATAGTAACAGACTACTTGAGATATTAAGAAACTTAAGCCAGTCATTTTCACTCGTCATATATATCCAACTTATGCCTTTTACATCTAACTTCACGTATTCTGGAATCGTTCACTTTTTAAGATGTATTTCGTTACGCGGTAAAATCAGAGGAAGGACCGCTGAAAAGTAGTTATTGAGTGATCGTTTCACCATATTCTGGGATACTACAGAAATCGAGCCTCCCTAGAAGTGAAACCTGGAACACTTATGTTCCGGCAAAAAGGGCGTTGCCCTAGGGATACTTTGTTGAGATCCTATGGTTAACACTTTTAAGTTCCGTCAGTTCACGTCACCATGCAATATTTACCTGATATTACTGATTATAACATCCTTATTATCCACGTGACTTAGCTCCACCAGTCAGTTCATAGCAAAACGTATTTTTCACTACCCAACTTATTTAAATTTACCAGGACCAGTGAATTTTTATGTGAATCCAACAACTATACTACAAATCATTTGATAAAACCATAAAAAAGGAATAATCTAGGAAAAATAGCTCTATGTATTTCAATTCTTAATTGTCAGGAAATAAAGTATGTTTCAATTATTCCCGTTAATAAATGTGATCATTTTCTTTATGTACTTGATATAGGATCCATCAATGAAGTTGTAACAACAAAACAATACATCCAGTACTCAGTGATAACATCAAGATGATTTTAACAATTATTCAGTAAATTAGCTTTGAAAATGGACTACAATTATCAACAAAAGTCTCACCAAAACCTATATCTTCTGTTTTTCGTCATTTTGCAAAGTATATTCCAAACAATTTCAAGTTTTAATTCCAACGAACTATGTTTAAACAAAACATGCAGTGGTTGCATTGCTGGATCGCTATCTTGCCAAGAAGGTGGACTTACACACTTACCAGATCGTCTTAGTTCTGACATTCAGTCCATGATATTGATGGGTCATAAGTTTAATAATCCAACGCTAACCGGCGATAACTTTTCCATATATATTCAACAAAACGTTAAGCTACAACGTCTTACTCTGCGTAATTGTGGTATCCAGTCAATTCAGTCACGTACATTCCAATCATTGAAAAGTTTGCAACAATTGGATTTATCTCAAAATCGAATCAAAACAATCTTAAAAGGTACCTTCGAAGGTTTGCACTTGGATTTTTTACGTCTAGACGAAAATTTTGGTTTAAGTATTGAAGACGGTGCTTTTCAAGATACGTCTATTGTGTCGTTATCTATGAACCAATGTGGTCTTAAAATATTGAGTTACAATGTTCTTTTACCATTGATAAATAGTAAACAACTCAAAAATTTACATTTATCTGGCAATCAGTTAATAACTCTGGAAAGTCGTCTAGAACCTATTTTCCTTCATTTGCAAAGTTTATCACTAGAACAAAATCCTTTTAATTGTGATTGCAAATTAAGTTGGCTTGTATCTGTATTAAACAGACGACAAGTACAACGGCGTACACGAGGTTTGTCAATGTTTAATGGGGATATCGATGAAGTTGAAACAAATTTATTACATAAATCAAATAGTTTAATGGAAATGAATCAACATAATGCACCACTAGATGGTGATTTATTAAAACCATTATGTCATAATCCAAGGCGATTAATCGGACGAAGTATTGAGTCATTAACTGTATCAGATTTTTACTGTGGTACACCAAAACTTCAAGTTATTGAAGTTGATTTGGGTCAATTAACAACTTTTTATCAAAATCAAAATATCAACAAAAAATTAACATCAGGAAAGCTCGAACAAGAAAATGATAATTCTCTAATTATAACTGTCAGATGTCATGTTAAAGGTTCACCAGAACTTCAATTGGACTGGTATCGTCCAATTAACCATGATAACAATAGTAATCGTGATCAAATAACAGATGCTCAGTCATACTCATTTACACGAACTCAACATCATCCAAATCAACAACAACTTATTCGTGTTCCAAATTCAAAAATGCTCAGGTCTGGTGGAATCGAATTAAAATTAAGTCGAAAAATAAACTTAAAAGATGATAATTCATTGAAGCAATCTGATAATCAGTCTACAATATCAACAACTGAGAAATTGATTTGTTTTGCCACTGATTCTAATGGAAATACAAGTGCTGAAATAGTTTTCCATTGGCCAACTATTGAAAGTTTACGAATGATATCAGATAATTTTGATAGTTTACAAACTAAAGTTCGAAATAATCCCAGATTATCTAGTGATATTAATGAGAATATTATATACACAGATAAAACAAGAATAACCAATGATCGTTCTACAGGTAACTATGAAATTACACCTGGTTGGTATACAGTTTTACAGGATGACCCAGAAAATATGCTGTTTCAGGTAACTAGAGTTATGTGTTTTTAAAAAACTTTTTAATCAGTGATATGACACATTTTTTAATCAATATAAAATTTCAGTTCTGAAAATGGGTATCGTTCCTTGCAAGAAAACATGATAAGTGGTAAGAGTTGAGACAACGCTCTCTAGTTACATTAAGCAGTTTTCAAACCTACGTGATTTTACAGATTATTCTTAAGGCTAAAATTTACAGATCCTAACACTAATTAGCTGTACATCCATTCGGTAAAGATTTTTTCTTAACGATGCTTATATACACACGTAAAAAATTCATAAACTCATTGAAAATCCTTGCCTAAAGAAATAATAATGTAAGACATTATATACATATAGAATTAAATGGCCCAATAGAATAATAAATTTACACCATACATGTCTAATATTGAGTCAATATTTATTTATCAGTCAGAAAACCATGATAAACTTGGGAAGCCTCTTCTTGTTTTGTATCTCTTGAATAAGGAATACTGACAAACATGAACTGGATTCCAATTTAATGGTGTTGTGGTAGTAAAAGGTTGTGCATCCTTTAACATGGTTAGTACACTGCAGCTTTGTCATCTATACTGAAGTATTTAATACTCGAAAAAAGCTAATTAATCCCACTTACGTAAATCAACATTTTACTAACGGTTGTGATATCTCTATGGACACGAAAAGTCAGTAGTTGACTACTAAACTATGAACATTGATTAATCTCACCAATAGATATCCCGTTTCATTCATAAGTTCATCTTAAGTGGCCCATTCTAATTCTATTGTCTCTTACCACCATTTCATGAATCTAAGTATTTCCTGATATTTTTCCCTACTAACCCATTTGTGGCAAACTCAGGTTTATCATGCATCAGCACCATTTTTGCTAGTTGGTCATCCAGATTTTCGAATTAAACCTCAATCACATTTCCAGTTGACAATAATATTGTAAGTAGCTTGTTTACAGATAAACTGCTAGTTTTCTTTCAAAGTGGATTTCTTGTTTTACTCGAGAAAGAATGTATGTTTATAAGACTTATATATTACTGATGTATTTTTAAAACTGTACTCGCTGTTATTTGTTCATTTGCGTTTCTCTGGTTAGTTGACCATACAACAATAGTCAATCGGTTAATCGAAATCATATGATAAGAGAAACATATGTAATAATTTAGTTACTTATACGATAAGACTATATATTTAATAATAATCCATAAATTAGTCCTGCAAATTACCGTTCCTTTGGTCTTCGTTCGGATATGGTACTTACGGTGACTTCTGCCATGCTTTCACTATCATTCAAACTCACAGCGAATTCTCTTTTTAAAGTAAAAAACAAACTAATCTCCTAGAGCTATTCAACGAGATTGGTTAAATATTCATATAAATAGATATAATAGGCGACTTCATAGTGCGACGTTATATTCGTTGATTAGTGTAAAGATTCTGTGCTTTAGATTTCAAATGATGGTATTACATAGTTTGAATGATTCCGGTGATTATAGTGATTGTTACTGGACTAACCAACATACGTAGTAAAATTATCTTAGATTGATTTAAAATGAACATAAAGGATTATAATTTAACCAGATGAATGATTCGTCTCAGTATATGGGGTTTGTGGTGCGTGTTTGATTTTCATAGTTCACATCACCCACTGATCCTTGTCAAACAACTGTTGGAAACCAAAAAACATTGGTCAACCCTTTCGACCCAATATATGACTATTTAACAATGCACGAACAAAACCTTAACCAAGATTAAACCCAATGTCTTCAGATCTCTCTGCAAGCACTTAACCATTAGACAACTAAACTGTCATCCAATAGGGTACTCATCTAACTTTAATCGATTTGCGATATTATGCAACTATCTTTCATTGAATAAAGTGGATAACCACCTCACATCTGAAATAGTTTAACTGCCATATCCATGACATTTTGTTTGAATTCTTGGAATTGCCTGTCGAATTTTGTCAGTAGTGAGTACATAATTTCTTTTAGTATAAAGGTTTGTTGATCTCCGACATTTCACTACTCAATAAGTTGTAGGTTGCTTTGGCGGGATCATCATATTTACTGTTTATTCTGTTTGTTCAGCAAAATCCGTTTCTATTTATGCTTTCAGTTTAATTGACCACGTCAATACGATATACTAGTAAAATATATACTATTTTTCAACCTTAATATCAATGAAAATCCTATTGTTTAATAAATATATTTAATTACTAACTCATTTGCCAATCGATTACGTTTGATTATTTGTCAATAAATAGGTCCATTTTTATAAAAACTTAATAATTATAATTTCAATGGTTGAGATCATGAGTCAGTTGAAGCTAGACCACCATGGCAAACCTGGAAGTCGAGTGCTTCCAATCAGAATTAATACAAATATGTTTATTGTAGTTACAAACATTATGATTTATGCGAATATAATTTTTACTTACTAAAATTTACCATTACAGAAACAATTCTCTGTACTTGAAATGATTGGTGCAGTTGTTGGAACATTTACTGTGACATTAGCACTTTTCATATTTGGATGTTGTTTGTTACGAATTCATAAACGTAGTCGGTATAAAGTTCGTTCAAAAATTTTATTACATCATACTACGTCAGAAAATTCTTATAGAAATTTTTCACCAGCATCAGAAAATTTAAAATCACCTCCACATTCATCTACTAGTAACCATTTATTGAGTAATCCATCCAATAATAATAACGATAGTGGTATTAATCTCAATAATAATAATAATAATAATAATAATAATAATAATAATAATAATAATAATGTGTCATATTCTCTCAGTCCTGTACCGAATACACTAGTTAATTCCTATACAGAAAACAATTTTATTAATGGGAATGGAACACTTGTAAATGAATTTAATGGAATGAAACATTTACCATATATGACACCGACATATGAACCAATTAATAGTACCGGTGATTTTCAAACATCTACAGGATATTCAGATTCACAAACTTATGATTTACCACGAATTCTTCCAACACACTCACCACCAACTATTCCTTTACCGCCATTGCCAAATGGATTTATTAACAATGCCAGTAATGCTAACGTAATTACCCGGTTAAATGAAATGGAACACAACAATACTAATACTATCAATACAGATAACAATAATAATAATAATAATCATGTGCCACTCCTGATGACAACTTTACCCTACATAAAGACAGCACAGTCAGTAAATAATGATATAAATCGATGTGTAGATACTTCAATACTATCCCCATTCCTTATGAATGATACACAAACTTTATCAGCAGCTATGTCAAATGCTGCAGCTGCGGCAACATTAAATTTACACATGAAACACCAACAACAACATTTCAATTCAAATCATAATCGTAAGTCAATTCCTCAGCATAATCAACATTTTACACAAAATAACGCTCATGATAATATTATAGTACAAAATCAACTAATCGATTTAATTACTCGTCAAAATCTTTTCAATCAACAACTACATGATATACGACACTAACTAATAAAGATTTGATATGTTAAATTTATAAACACTTCATTGTATATACATTATATATATATATATATATATATATATATATATATATATATATATATATATATATATATTAACAGGACAGCATACATATCTATTTATTTATTGCATATAATATTAGCAAAACTGATCAACAGATATGATTTCAGGTGTTAACAACTTTATAAATATACATTCATACTTGCCTCAAAAATAGTACTTGTATCAAACCAATTTAAACAATCTGTACTAGTTATCCTTTTCTTTTACTCAAGATTATTTCTGTTAATGTTTACAACAACTATTGTTGGAATCATTCACAGTACATGGATTTATATGGAGCTTAATTATTGTGCTTTGGAAAAGTTGTTAATATAGTATTTTCTCCATATAGCATAGTGAAACGATATGCATGTATCATATTAACTAGTTGAGGCCTAGTGAGATATATGAGATTGTTTAACCACACCCTATGTAAACAACAGTTATGACCAGATCATGTTTCCTTAATTGGTAACAGAACGATATGAAAGATAAGTTTTGAGATTGTAAACGAAAACCGGAAAGCATATGATTTGATTTCAACAGTTATCTAGATCCGATTCGGAACATACAACAAATTAAAACGTTTAACTCTTTTATAATTGTGTATGTATTCTAATGTCATGTTAGGAAATTAAAATCTGAATATATAGTATGGAAAACAAACTATTTGTTTTAACTCACCAAATTTTCATAATTTCTGATTTGAAAAAGTTTATCAGGTTACACAACTTTCGCATTCAGTTATTTTAACCAATTTTAATTATCTTATCCCTATCAGTTTTCTTTGATTTTTAACTGATTTAATTGAAAGTTTGACAACACATCTCATTAGTCAAATACTGTAATATCAGCCTCCTTACAATAAAAAGTATGGTAATTAAATTTGTATTGCATTTTCAACCTTTCAATCTTTTTTTGGATACAGTTTATTCTCAGACTAATTTGTAAATAGGCGCAGACATTTGAAATTATTTAAACTTCACTTATTTTTCCCTATATACCACAGTTTCACTTTGTTTTGCATCTCTATTCCTTTTTTTGCCTTCTCAAACGGGATGATTGAATGTTATTTATTTACAAAAAAACATATGAAAATTATAAATATGATTTTATTAACTTACAAGTTGGTATTTTATCTTCAAATTTATTTTCACTTGAGAATGGATTAAAATAAATGTCATAGTATTAGTAATAAATGAAAATATTTATAAATACATACATATCTGATGAATTAAGCAGGAACAATTATGTAAATGTGATACGTGTTTATCAACTCTTATTGTCACTACCAAGGTCACTTTCCCTGCCTAATCTGAAGAATAAAGTACGTTATGATTGATTTTAAACACTCAACAGGTTACTGCCCCTCCTCTTATTCACCGTTTACGGACGCTAACTCGTAGACTGAGGTTATATGATGGCTGTTTGGCTCATTATTAGGTGCTATTCACTATCAGACTACCTCTCGATACAGCTTATACACGGATTGTTTTAACCCATTTGTGATTATGCGACACTATTAACCCAATGAATACACACGACCTAAGACAAGTCAGCAAACTAAATAACAGTGAGGCAATAATTAAATGACAATTAATCAATTAAACGAATAAAAAGTGAGCAGCTTCTTGTTGGTTAGTCAACAGACTTGGTTGAGCACAGACTATTAGTGACGCCGCTCGGGGGAACACGATGGCTCAAAACTGCCATTATTAATATATAAAGGATTATAACGTAGTGTTTATACATGTTTGTGTTCAACAGATAATTGTCTCATGCATCACTATACCTTATAGAGCACGAAATCATTCTAAATCACTTTGCGCTCTATCATACTTAATTCCCCTGTTAGGTTGGGAAGTTGCTTGACTCTCAGTCTTCTTGTTGATTTTTGTCTGAACACTTGGGTTAATAAAATTTTTCGACGTTTCTGATAAGCTATTCTTAATCTTCATGCCTATAGCTCTTACAAGTCCATCCTCACTGGTGTTTGTACTACTCCAAATGGTCAGCTACTTGAAGCTGGCTTGTGAGCTATAAGTGCGATCTCCACCCTGGAAGTTCTTCCTATGGCTTTCCCATTTGTCTTGAACCTCAAGAGTGGTGATACACTACTTGGACCATCTCCTTCAAAACACACCTGCAAAATGTTTCGCTTATCCCCATCTGTTGACGATGCAGTCAGAATGAGAGTTACATCCAGGCGGACTTCTGTCGCTTCTAAGTAAGAGCGATTTACTCGGCGTTATAAACTTCAAGTCTCTAGCATCGTTTATCATTCAAGACTCTTTCGGCTTGACTCAGGAACGTCTTTAACATTTCGTCTGTTAAACACTGTTTTTAATTATGGCACTTCGTAATCACCTTCCTATTGATATGAATCTTCCCCACAAACCCCTATGACTGAGCTGAGGAGGAATAAACCTTGACTTAATATCTCGACGTAGCAGGTCCTTACCTAATCCCTCCTCTGAGTCTTTTGATTTATTAATCAGCTCCAACTGACTGCCTACTGAATTTTTCCCTATCACCAAACATTATCTTGGTGTTACTCCTTCGGTTTATGAGTTTAAAAAGGCCCAATAAAAAGGCGTAAGTGGATAGGGAGTGAACCAGATCAATATGCACAGCCCTCGTCTTTAGACAAGTAAACAAACATCCGTGTCGCTCACAAATGCCTCTCCCTCTTTTAACTACAACAGATCCAAACAAACTAACTGCCAATTTCCAATCTACACACTGGGATGCGTGCCGTCATCTGTTGTTTTGTGCGAGCGTTTCTTCTACATACCACACATTTATTGATCACATTTATGTACTACTGATTCATCCTTGAGAACCTAATGTCTAGTTCGAATACTGACTTTCACCTGAGTGGAGCCAAGTGATCTTTCAGTAGCTCAATGATAAACAATTATTATTGATGAAACTGAATGATAAATAGTCAGCGAAGCCATATGGACACATCTCTGGAGTAATTGAGACCTTCTACTCTGACCACTTCGCCCACGATTATTGAATTTAGTCATTCATTTCGTATTTTAATGTCCAAAAACCCTGCGTTATCAATCATTTTCACGTCTCCCACGCCGCTCACTGAGTAGCCCTAATGAAGAGTCTTTCTGAATTTCTTAGTCAGTTAATCTCTAATGACCCCACATCTATGCTTCCAACGTTCTTCGAAACATACATTATCTTCAGATATCTGATGAGTCGCAATAGCCATCCAACGCCTCCCAGTAGCTTACACCAACTGAAGTAGTAAACGAACATCGGTTGTAGTTCTATTCTGTTGACAAAAAAAGAAGGATAATGAGTTGACTCATTTCACAGGTTATATATTACCGTCACAATGTCTGTCTAAAAACTAGTCCTCACCGTTGCACATTCATATTCCACGGCCACTGTCACGTACACCATAACCCCTAGAGCGGCTGCACTCAACTCCAGATGAGATATTGTAACAGACTTTAAAGGGGCTACTAGGGCCTTTGCTAGTAATAACCTCACGTCTGTTTGATTACTCACAGGTAAATAAGAAAGATTGGATCTTATTTAGTATCCTAATGGGTGTATTCTGTTTGCCCCAAGGTGTTTTTGTTTCACTTAACTCATTATTACATATAAATCGCCATCCTATAACTTGATGAGCCTCGAAGATATTATACCCACTTAAAACCTTGAATCTTTCATTCAACAATTTTGGAATGCACAAGTCGGTCAGATCGGGCATTTTTGACAGTACGGGGTCAGCTGGCAATGATAACCCTCCCAATCTCAAGTGTGAAGTTCTATAGGCTATGGGAACGCGAATCATTTCGTCTTTAACTAAGGAGGTTAAATTAAATGATACTCTGGCATACCGCCACTCACTGAAGAGTTCATCATATTAACTGACACGTCATTTTTTCACACTCAAGTCTCAACCAACGAGTTAGCCCAGCATCGATTAATGAAACGTTAAACTTGTTATCCAACAGTGTATATACCTCTTTAAATAATGAGGGCTCATGAATCCTAACCAAAATAACACCAAAGTAAGCCTTCTATGTACTAGGCATCTCTAAGCAGTTGAACTGTATTTCATTGGCCCCTTCATCCCGAGATCCCAACAACGGATAGATTTATTTCACACGTACTATACATAATCTCTTTGTGTGTCGAAATTTCAAACACTTAGAAGATAGGTATTTCCTTCTGGCAGACCTCATTCTTCGTTGTACAGATAGTCTGGAAAGCTTGTCACAATCCTACACATAATGTTGTTCGATGCAGAATTCTCACTTGACTTTTTTATTCACCACGACAATAACTTCTGCAACCAACACTGGCTATTGAGCAGTCAACTGTTTTAGGCCTGACCTGTCACACACTATACTGGCAAATCTACTTAGAGACTGATTTATGTCACAATGAACTAATTCTAGGATGTCTCGGCTTTCTAAATTCTTCGTCCATAGCAGCCCTAGTCTGTATCCATGCTCATTGTAATATAGTACAGAGAAGTTTGTTTAATGTCTCCAATACAGACATGGATTCTGTAGTGTCGGTTGCTATGTTAGGCTAACAGAGATTATTCTAACTCTCGGACGAGCCAATTTATTCATCCTCCTTGAGTCACACTTTGACTTTGTTAATTATTCATTTGTCAACCTTCACTGTTTTTATGTAAGCGTATGTATGTGTATTTTTTATCTTATTCATCACATATCTGTAACTTATTTTTAGTTTGACTATATTTCGACAGTAATCATTCGAT